ATCAGTAAGGGCCTTAATTTGGGTCGAGGATCGGCCTGTGTCTTCACGGACAGCCCGTCGGATCCTCCAGCTCAGTGCAGGTGAAATTTTTTTGGGTCTACCACTTGATTTTTTGTCCCATAACTCTCAGGATCTTTTAAGAAATTTAAAATGACTGTCTTACTGCGTCCAACCTCAGCAGCAATGGCGCATTGCGAGAGCCCTTGCTTGTGCAACTCAACAATCCTGCCACGTTCAAAAACAGAAAGCATTTGTTGCCATCAGGAGATCATGACAGTGTGACTGTCTGAAGGACAATGACATTAAAGCCATATTTTTGCACAGATTTTAACTTTTAAAGGCTATGGTCTTAAACTTTTTATCAGCTGATGACCAGCCTGTTTGAGTTTAAATGCAGTTTTCAGTAAATTGCCTACTCTCTATTTTTTGTCTCTTGCTCTTGTTTCTTCTTTTGGCATTTTGAAGAAGTACTCACAACCTGGTTACAATCCACCAGTGCGAAGTGTGAATACTTGTAATATTTTCCCTGGTCTTAAGATTTTGTTCAGGAGTGTATATAAATATACGTATATATTCATATGTCTCATCCTAATATATTTATTTTACATGTTTATTTGGTAGCTTAAAATTTGTGTTGTAATCATGTTTTATATGTTTATCAATAGTTCAAAATTTGCTCTCAGATATGAATTATAAGATTCATGTCAACAGGTTTTCTGTTCTTTTCTCTGCACAGGCAAAGGGGTTGAAATTCTCAGCGATACAACACTATTAAATAATTAACATTTTTGTAAGTTTAACAGAGCAAGCTCCATTCTGAGGCACTGTAGAGTGAAGCGGAGGCACTCAGATGTGTGTGTGTGTGTGTGTGTGTGTGTGTGTGTGTGTGTGTGTGTGTGTGTGTGTGTGTATGTATGAATGTGTATACTTACTCCTGGGTGGTTGGGGGCATAGTATGAGTTTTTGCTGACATCTCTCTCTCTTTCTCACACACTTTCTTTTCCCCTGTGTGCTTCTTTTATATTGTATCTTTCAGTCTCTGGCAGACCAGAGGAATGTCTGATGCAGCAGGGCCTGCGCTGCTGCTCTCCTGCTGCTGTGCTCTGAAAACGAAAAAAAAAAGGAGAGAAAGAGGGAAAGTTCGAGACTAGACCACAGAAATGTAAACACGTCTGGAGCTAAAATAACTCAGCTTTCATAGAAAACACCCCTCAGTGACAGCGCTGAGAGCTACACCCTCAACTAAGCTCAACACTACAAGAGTGTGTCCTGTCCTGTACCTTCACCATATTGTTCCCCAGTCAAAGAGGCTAATTTTACACCCAATAGTCAGGCACCTTCTGAAAACGATGTGGCTTGTAGCAAGGAAAGAAGTCTTGGAAATTAATTGGCCAAAATAATTTTTTTAGAGGAATTACAAAAATGTAAATTTTGAATTGGCTTTTTTGAATAACTCATTACAGACCAAGGCTAGGTCCAAACCACGTACTATTCTAAATAGTGTAGCTGAAATAGTGTGCCACTAGAAGTGGTGTGTAATTTTAACCTACTATATAGTAGAGTAGTAGCTGGTTTCAGATGTAGAAAGAGTAAAGATCAAAAGTAGAAATAACTCCAGTTTAAATTTTTTTTTTTTTTTTTTTTTTTCAATTTAAGTGCTTCCTCATATCATCTCAGGGAGTTTTTCCTTGCCACCGTCGCCACTGGCTTGCTCATTAGGGATAAATTCACAGTGATAAATTAAAATATTTATAATATATTTTTTGTTAATCCATTTATTTCTGTAAAGCTGCTTTGTGACAATGTCCATTGTTAAAAGCGCTATACAAATAAAACTGAATCGAATTGAATTGAATTAAGCGGATACAACACCAAAATCCAAATTTATTGCTAAAATAGCTGGAGTATCGTCATGATTTGTTTTTGTACCTCTGTTGCAGCCACCTCATCATAGCCTATATATCACATTTAGCCACTGTCAGTTCACTTCTGTTGGCAATATACTTTGATTTACAGTAAAAATGTTTGCTATAATGTGCACTAGACAGATTCCAAGAATGAGAACTACTTTTTCCTTGTGACTGGAGTGTGTCATGTGTTTTTGTTATTATTAGTGATGTTTTTTGTTTTTATGTACAGATGATTTACTTAGTTATTATTTACTTAGTTAGGAATATACTGTAGATTTTACCAAATATCAAATGAATACTTACATAGCAATCTCAGTATATTGTTATATTGTACTATTTACAAAATTGCATTATTCTAAACCTTTTTCTGAGATTGGTTTTTGGGGGGTAAAAAAAATTAAACCAAGGTAAATCATGTTAGATCTCTTTCCATGTGATGTAGCAACCAAGAAAATTCAAGTGAAAAACAAATAGAAACGTTGTATGGAAAAAAAGAAAAATGTGCAATAACCTGGTTGCACAAATGTGCACACCCTTTAACTAATACTTTGTTAAAGCACATTGCTTGTAATACAGCACTCAGTCTTTTTACATTAGTGTCTAACAACTTTGCACATCTTGATTTGGCAATTTTATCCCACTCTTCCTTGCAAAATTGCGAGGGGATCTCCTGTGCACAGCACTCTTCAAGTAATTCCACAGGTTTCGATAAGATTTAGATCTGCCCTCTGACTGGGCCATTCCGAAAGGTTGACCTTGTTTTTCTTGACTTGGATTTGTGCTTTGGGTCGTTATCATGCTGGATGGTGGAATTTTTCTTCATCTTTAGCTGTCTAAAAGACACCTGCAGGTTTTGTGCGAAAACAGATTGGTATTTGGAGCTATCCATGATTCCCTCTATCTTGACCAGAGCCCCAGTCGCAGCTGAAGAGAAGCAGCCCCATAACATGATACTGCCACCACCATGCTTCATTTTGTGTTCTTTGGGTAATAAGCTGTCTAGTTTTTGCACCAAACATATCTTTTAGAATAATGCCCAAAGAGTTCTGCCTTGGTCTCATCAGACCATAACACATTTCACCACATAGTTTGGGGTGATTTATGTGGGCTTGGATGTTTTTTTTTGTTTTGTTTTTTTTTGTGAGAAAGGGCTTCCATCTGGCCACCCTACCCCAGAGCCCAGTCTTGTGAAGAATACGAGAGGCTGCTGTCACCTGCAGGGAGTGACCAGTATTTGACAGATATTCCTCGAGCTCCTTTAATGTTGCTGTAGGTCTCTTGGCAGCCTCCCTGATAAGTTTTCATCTTGTACTTTTGCCAGTTTTGGAGGGACATCCTGTTCCATGTCCCTGTGGCGCCCCATTTCCTCCATTTGCTGATGATGGCCTTCATGGTGTTCCTTGGTATGTCTAATATTTTGGAAATTCTTTTGTACCCCTTCTCCTGATCGATACCTTTCAACAATGAGATCCCATACATGCTTTGTAAGCTCTTTGCTGACCATGGCTTCAGCAGTTGGATGAAATCAAAAAGCTGTTACGAAAATCCTATAGAAACAACTGATCTTTATTTGGAGTTAATCAGAATCACTTCATTGATGATAGGTGGATGATAATTACTTTTGAAAATGAGCCTGAATGTGATTGGCTAATTCTGAGCACATGCCCCATTACAAAAGGTTGTGCACACTGCTGCCAGGTTATTGTACATTTTCTATTTTTTTCTCTATTTTTTTTCCTATTTGTTTTTCATATGAATTTTGTTGGTTACTATATCACATTAAAGTTGGAAAAAGCTCTAACATGATTTATCTTGGGTTCATTTTTTTTAACATCACAAAAACTTGCAATTTTAACAGAACTGTGTAGATTTGTTATATCCACTGTACATTCACATTTCCATTTAATAGAAAAGATGTATCCTTAAGGGTACCGATTCGTACCATTTTTCCATAGAGTGTCCCGAAATCCTGTTGTATTCACAAGCACAAACCTAAGAATGTGAAGGAGCTTAAAATGTTCTGCAAGGAGAAGTGGTTCAATATCCCTTTACAAGTGTCTCCAAACTTATTGAACATGTGCTGATATTATTTCCAGGGGAGGTTAGGTGTCATAATGTGTTCAAATAAAATATAACTTCTTGAATGTGCTGTTAATTTTTTATTCATTTTCATAAAGGGTGTCAATAATTCTGAAGCTGGCACCGTACTATTATACTGGGAAATTTTCACACCCCATTTCAGTTCCAGGCAAAAGGGCAGTCAGAAAAGAGTAAAAGTGTAAGAGTGTGTGAATTCAGGTTCCATCCATCCATCTCTCTCTCTCTCTCTCTCCCTCTCTCTCTTTCTCTCTCTCTCTCTCTCTTTCTCTCTCTCTCACACACACACGCTCAACCTGCAGGAGTATTTTGTAAAACTTGCTGGCGTTCAGCTTTTCAGCTCATTCTGGCTCCTGGAGGCTTTTTTTGTTTTTCTTTTTCCTCACAAACTGCATTAATGTTGTTAGACCGTCAGCACTGGCGCACGAGGAGGCAGTTTTCACACACACAGCGGGACTTTTTTCTCTCCTAACGGTAAGCCATCACAATATTATTACCCGACTTCATAAAAGAAAGCTCCGCCAGTCATTGATAGCCTGCGCGCTAGATGTAGCTGTAGACTGCGTCCCAAACCACATACTTACGTGCTACATAGGATGTACTAGGATTAATAGTGATTAACTACGTCCTAAACCATAGCAGTGTAAATCAGGGTTAGCTTACTGTTTTCACACTGCTTACTACTACACAGATAAGCGTCCCTTTTTGACACACTATATGCGTTTGGGACGTAGCACATTTCACTGAGGGCTCAGTTCAGATAAGCGTAGCAGAGGTCTTGTAGCCTGCTATTTTCAGACACTATTTAGGACGGCAGTGTGCGGTTTGGGACTTGACCTTCGTGTCTAGATTAGGGTGACGCTCAGGTCAAAAGAGCTGTCGATAGACGCTACATATCAGAATCTCCCTCCGCAAAGTCTAGACAAGAGTGTTTAGAAACGTACGGCTGGATATCTTTATTATATCAGTGAAGTTTTTTTGTAAAGGGGAGGGGGTGCGGTGGTCTAGTGGTTAGCGCGCTTGCCCTGCATGTCCGGGGTTGAGGGTTCGATTCCCGCCTCAGCCCTGTGTACGTGGAGCTTGCCTGTTCAAAGACATGCGTTGTAGGCTGATTGGCACCCCCGAATTGTCCACAGTGTGTGTCTGTGTTGAGCTGTCACTCCATGGAGGGCATGCCCCAAGCCCCTCTGGTTTATGCTCCAGGTTCCTTGCAACCCTGTGTAGGATAAGCAGTACAGAGGAATGGATGGCTTTTTCTGTGCAAGTGCTCCATGTTAAGGTGTCACATTTTTAAAATTATAAATACATTAAAACCTCTTTTCGTAGCGAAACGTTTCCCCTCAAGTTTTTCTTATACACCTGGTATTTTTTCTTAAACACCTGGTGGTGACTTGCAGCAGGCTAGAGCACAATGCCGCTGTTACGAGAAAAGAACCAAACTAACAACAACAGCTTTTCTGCGGAAGAGAAAAACATCTGGTATTTCCACTCTGTGGCGAAAACTTCATTTTCGAGCCTGAAGTTGATTTCTTTTAACTTTCAGGGCTATAAAAATGTCTAGACGACAAAGCCATCTTTTCAGTTGTGCTAATGTTTTTTGTTGTGCTCAGCTTTTCTTGGAACAGCAGTAAAATAAACCGGCTCACACGTACAGACTGTTGTGACTGCTGTTCACATGATTGAGTCTGATGAAGTGAAGTGTTGCAACGGACATCACGTGATACATCTCTTTATAGGTAGACTGAGACTAATGAGTAACAAATTTAAGTCAAGGTTGACTGTATTTTGGTTGTATGGAAAAGTTGTCAGAATAGCAACAACAAATCAAACATCAGAATGGGGAAAAAGTGTGATCTCTGTGACTTTAACTGTGGCATGGTTGTTGGTGCCAGATGGGCTGGTTTGAGTATTTCAGAAACTGCTGATCTCCTGGGATTTTCACACACAACCGTCTTCTAGAGTTTCCACAGAATGATGAGAAAAACAAAAAACATCCTGTGAGTGGAGGGTCTGCAGGCTGAGGCATCTTGATGAGAGAGATCAGAGGAGAATGACCAGACTGGTCTGAGCTGACAGGAAGTCTATAGTAACTCAAATAAGCACTCTTTACAACCGTGGAGAGCAGAAAAGCATCTCAGAAGACACAACACATCAAACCTTGAGGTAGATGAGCTACAGCAGCAGACGACCACATCAGGTTCCACTCCTGCCATCAGGTTCCACTCCTGTCAGCCAAGAACAAGAATCTGATATCATCAGATATGATAACAAGATATCATGGGCACAGACTGACCAAAACTGGACAGTTGAAGACCAGGTGAGTTTTTTCTGATTTTCAACTGTCCAGTTTGGGTGAGTCTGTGCCCATGATAGCTTCAGATTCCTGTTCTTGGCTGACAGGAGTGGAATGCAATGTGATCTTCTGCTGTTGTATCTATCCACCAAAAGGTCTGAGGTTTTGTGCTTGCTGAGATGCTTTTCTGCTCACCACGGTTGTAAAGAGTGATTATATGAGTTACTATCCTTCCTGGCAGGTCAAACCAGTCTTGCCATTTTTCTGACCTTTCTTATCAACAAGGTGTTTCCACCCACAGAACTGTCACTCACTCAATGTTTTTTGTTTTTCACACCATTCTGCGTAAGCGGTTGTGTGTGAAGCTCCCAAGAGATCAGCAGTTTCTGAAATACTCAAACCAGCCCACCTGGTACCAGTATCCATGCCATGATCAAAGTCACAGAGGTCACACTTTTTTTCTTCACTCTGATGTTTGATGTGAACAATAACTGTAGCTCTTGACCTGTATCTGCATGATGTTTTGTATTGCACTGATGCCACATGATTGGCTGATTAGATAACTGCATGAATGTGCAGGTGTACAGGTGTTCCTAATAAAGTGAATGGTGAGTGTATATGATTTTTATCAGCATAATATTTAACAGTAAAATAATTTAACAAATACACATTTTGTGTCTAGAAAAAAAAAAAAAATCAGGACTGGAGTCATTTAGTAACTTTTAGTGGATGAATGAGGGAACAGAAGCCATTTCAGCCCCCCCACGTCTCAACATTGGTACTCTTTCACCCTTTCTAACTGCCAGGGAGATGAGAATCAACCAGGAGACTTTCTTGTGCTGAGACCTTCCAATAGAGTCACAAAGTGATCTTATGATGCAGTGTTTGCAAAAAGTACCACAGTCATTCAACCTTCTTCTCTTTTTTCTTCTCGTCTTGCACACATGATGGAGTGTGTGAAGCTATTTACTTAACAGCTCATGACTACAGATGGAGCTTCAAGTATCCTGTCTGTCCAAGCTGCATATGTGCCTTTTACCATGGTTCAGTAGGTGGTTTTTTCCGAAGTTACTGATTCGGAGTTTTTTCCAAACCTCCCCATCATCTACCAACTGGCAGGCTTGTGGCTAAGCACTGCTAACGTGGTTGGATGAGTTTCCCTATCTGTACTAACAGCTGTTCACGTCTGAGCCTGCTGCGTTAGCTGGATGCAGTCAGTAATAATAATTAGATAATAGGGAAGTGGTAGCTCAGTGGTTAAGACACTGGACTCCTGATCGCCAAACTGCCACTGCTGGGCCCTTGAGCAAGGCCCTTAACCCTCAACTGCTCATTTGTGTAAATGAGATAATAAGTCGCTCTGGATAAGGGCGTCTGCCAAATGCCATAAATGTAAATGTAGATGAGGGCATGAATTGTATGAAAAGTTCATAGTATGATAACTGTACAAACCACTGCTATGATTTTCAAAGAAGACAAAGTTAAATCTAATAAATTCAGTGTTAGGGCAAGTTAGAGAAAGAGAAGTTAGAGTTAGAGAAGTTATAAAGTATGTGGTTAGAGAAACATTTGAAAAATGCTACCAGTCAAACGTTTGGACACACTAGACTGAATCTGTATTTTTTCTCATTGTCTTCAGTTTGTTAAAAGCTTGTGGCTGAAATTTGTTTCTATGACAAATGTAAATAGTGAAGTTGATGTATACATGTATTTATGAATTAAATTGTATTTTTAATAAATAGTTTCAACTTTTATTTCTTTACTTTTAGTACTCAGCCTATTTGGGAACTTTCTGGGAAACTGTCTGGGTAGTTGCCTTATGAAGCCGGTCGAGAAAACTGCATGAGTGTGCAAAGCTCTTCAGGAATTCTGTTAGTAATTTAAAATATAAAATAGTTTTGATTTGTTTAACAATTTTTGTTGGTCACTGCATAATCCCATATGTGTTATTTCATAATGTTAATGTTTTCATTAATAGTTGAATACAGTAAAATTGAAGAAAAGCCTTCTATGAGCAGGTGTGCCCAAACTTTTGACTGCTGGTGTACATACAGTCAACTCCAGAAATATTGGCACCTTTCAAATGAATGGGTAAAAACTTTATATTTTTCTTGTATCATCATCATCATCATCATCATCTTCTTCTTTTCTTCTTCTTCTTCTAACCACCACAGCTGTCTGTATAATAGCTATTTGAAAAGGTTACACTAAAGAATCCCTTCCTGAGAGCAGTTTACAAAATGCAGCTTCTCAACTTCAAACACTGGCATTACAAATGCAATCGTGTGTTCTGGACAAATGAGATGAAAATCATACATTTCAGACATGTACACAATTAGCATGCTTGGAGAAAAGGGAATCGCATACAAGGGAGACCCCAAACCCACTGTAAACTCTAATGCTGGATAATTGAGGATTTGGGGTTGTTTTTATTACTTTTGATGTAAGGGCTCTTATACAAATTGAGGACATGGTGAATTTTGCTAAGTATTTAGCCCAAAATTATGTTTCCTTTGCCAGGAGGTTAAGACTTGTCTTCTCTGTAGACTGATAATAAGCTCAAACATACAGCTAATTTTCATGAAGGTTGCCTTTAATTTAGGAGCCGAGCGTATACTGGTTGACCATTAAAACAATCTAGAAACACAATATATGGCCAACAGTTTGTGGGTACTTGACCATCACACCTATATGTGCTTTTTAAACATCCCATTCTGGATTTAGTCCCCCTTTGCTGTTATAATAACCTCCACTCTTCTGGGAAGGCTTTCCTCTAGATTTTGGAGTGAGGCTGTGGGAATTTGTCCATTCAGTGACAAAAGCATTAGTGAGGTCGGGTACTGATGTTGGGTGAGGAGGCCTGGCATGTAGTCGGTGGTGTTCAGTGGGGTTGAGGTCAGGGCTCTGTGCAGGTCACTCGAGTTCTTCCACTCCAGACTTGGTAAACCATGTCTTCATGGACTTCACTTTGTGTATAGGGGCATTGTCATGGTGAACCAGGTTTGAGCATCTTAGTTCCAGTGAAGGGAAATTGTAATGCTACAGCATACAAAGACATCTTATACAATTGTGTGCTTCCAATTTTGTGGCAGCAGTTTGGGAAAGAACCATATATGGGTGTGATGGTTAGGTGTCCACAAACCTTTGGCCATATAGTGTAGCATTAGCTCTGATTTTCAGCTGTAGAATTAGTTTTTTTTTTTAAAATAGGCTGCTTTGTTTTAATGTTGCAGCATTTTCAAGATAGGCACTACATTTATACTACTGGTATAAGAAAAAAAAATACACACACACACACACTCACACACACACATATATATATATATATATATATATATATATATATATATATATATATATATATATATATACATACATTCAGGGTGTCTCTATACATAGGGGAAATTAACACTTTTTTAATAGTTAGGTTTTTTCATCCTTAGTTTATATTTTTGTATTCAGATAGTCTAAAGAATGCCTTTGACAAAAGAAGAACTTATTGAAATCATTCTCATGGCTGGATCAGGAAGCAAGGTTGCGATGGACTTCAACAGGAAACATGGCAAGCACATCATACACAACACTGTTGGCAAACTTAACAAATCCAAAAAGACTAGAAGTGTTGCGGACCAACCAAGAAGTGGACGTCCACGAACATCCACTGACCAACCTGACAACTGACGTGGTGCTGGCGTACATAGTCCCCTATGTATGGAGACTTTTAGGACAGCCTGTATATATATATATATATATATATATATATATAAGTAATT